TTCCTTGTATATATTTTATACTTGGTCATTAAAGTATTTTGTATTGTATTGTATTGTATTGTTATCCAGCAGAACTTCTAGTCATTTTTCGTCCTTTAACCACTCTTTCCTACCTTGCCCTCAATACAGCACAGCCTGATGGATGTAGTCCAGTGCCTTCTGGAGCGGCTTCAGTTGGAGGCGGCAAGTCGGGCATCCCAGTCAAGCGTTTCCGTGCAGCAGCAGGATGCCAGGGTTGAGGACATTGATGGCCAAGGACCAAGAGTCTGAGGAGTTGGCTGTGCCTTCCCACCTCCTCTTTTCATCCCCAAGAAATGAGGAGTAGAATCTAGAGTGGAGCATCGTTCAAGGGATTCTTCCAGCCTTCTACAGATTCCCAGAAACAGCATGGCAATCCAAGTAGGTGGCAGTGAAGGGGAGTGGGAACACCCAGTCCCTTCCCGTGTTGGTTCACTGTCTGCTTCATAGGCATAACTGCAGCCCACCAGAAAGGATGTGCCTCGGATGCAAGAAGTGCTCCGTGGCCATGGTGCTTCCAACAAACTTCAGTAACTTTTTTCCTATGCCTCCAAGGGGCTACCCTGGATGTGGCCTGACTGAGAACTTCGTAAATAGAGAATAAAATGTGTATGTCAACTGGGGTCTGCTCTCTGTCAGGGTGGCGGATAGATGTCTGGATTGGCAAGAACGATACTGCTGTTAACTTTCCTGAGCTCAGTGTCCTTTCTGTCCATGTTGTGTCCCCAACAGCTTCTGAGAGCATGGCCCCTTAGTCCTTCAACAGAATGGAAGAAAAGTATCGAACAGTAATAGTCAGATACAAGTGACCAAGCAGCACATCACTCCAGGTCTTTGGCTTCCAAAGACCACCTTTTTGCTCTCATCCTGAGCCTAAGACATTTGTCCCCTAGAATCTGCTCCTCAGCCCCTTCCTTATTCCTGGCCTTTCTATCCGTCATTTGTCCGCTCCTAAGCAGAAGACTGGAAGCGGAAGGAATCCAAAAGGAAGCCGTTGGACACCTTATCAGCTCACGAGATGAATGTTGTCTACCCTGGCAGTGACTCACAGTTCTCTCTGCTGGGGAATGTTGGATGTTGAACCTGGCGCTTTTTGCATGCAGAGTTTTTAATAAAGGAAGGGCCCTCCCCTTTCAGCGGTGGACCCAGCAGCAGCAGCAGCAGCTGGGGTTCCTCCTTTCTTTGGCCCTTTGAAAGGAAAATGCAGCCCCATGGGCTAGTGAGTCAGGGGCCTCCCTCAGAGCTGAGGCTAAGAGCGCCTGTGAATTGGGCGTTCTGCCTTGTACGTGATGGAGGAGACTGTGGGGTGCCGCTGTTCTTCCCCATGCTGAGCAGACATCTACCGATTCTGGCTCTCATCATCATCATAAACAGGCACATATTCCTCTGCATGGAGATAAAGCTGTATCTGTTCCAGATTCTGCTGGCAAATTGGAACAGATGGCTTGGGAGAAAGGGTAGAGATGAAGTTTACAGCATTGTAATTAGGGAGGGTTTGTGGCATCTTAGCGTGCTGGGAAGGGGGACTAGAGCCATATCCTTGTCAGGTCAGGAAGGCGCACAACCTCCCTCTGGCACAACGTGCGCATTTAGCTTCACCTCTAAGAGGTGTGCGCGGTTTAGATGCCTTGGCTTAAGAGAGGCCAAGGAAAAGCACCAACTTCTGAGAAGGAGGTGGGGTCAGAGTTCCTTGCATTGCATAGGTAATAACCTAGGGGCTCATGGGGACAGAGGTGTACGTGCCTTAGACTGTTGACATCCAGTAGTCAAATTTGACTAGGGCTTGAACCAGATTCTCGTGATCTGTATTCTGATGAGCTTCTCAAAGCTGCAGAATGGGAGTACCAGGGTTCCTCGTTCCAGAAAAGACCTCTACAGTCAAGAGGCTTAGGAAGTCTGGAAACCGAATCTTCCGAGGGCCCCTTGAAAGAGCCCAGGCATATTGATCTTGGTGAAGAGATTAAGGGATCTAGGAGGACAGTCTCTGGGTATTGAATGGCTGTTCTGCAGATAATGGAGGAGAATTCACTGTTGCTTTTGAAATCAGCTGGAGCCAAGAATGGATCTTGCAGAGGGACAGGTTTAACTAAAAATGGGGAAAACATTCTAGGGGTGTGAGCTGTTCAGTGATGGAACTGTCTGCCTCAAGAGGTGATGAATTCTCCTGCATTTAAAGTATTTAATCAGGAGCTGGGAAAGCTATACATTGGGGATGGTGGGTTTACCTCCCAAGGTGATGCAGCTTCCTGCTCTTTTCCAACTTCGAATAGATTCAAAATTTCTCCCTTGTCCAGTACTTTGCCCAGGACAGTGATCCCCATGTTGTTGTCCTCCAAATGTGTGGGACCAATTCCCAGAATTCCTAGCCATCATGGACAATAGCTAGGAACTCTGGGAGTTCAACCTGGAAACTTGAAGGAGCTGTTTTGGGGGAGGCTGTGGGAATACCCAGGATCTGGCCTTACTGTACTTGCCTGGTTTCCTGAAGTTTGTACGTGGAAGAACCTGCAAGATCACCTACCTAGTCGTCTTACAACCTGCCTGCCTCTTCCTGTCTTGATCATCCCTCAGACCTTAGTATTTGGGTGGCTGAGTTGTAAACCGGCAACCCTAGCAAGAAACAACATCTTCCCCGCAGATTCAGTCTTTCAGAAACACACAAGCCGTCACAGCAAGATGACGCAGTCCCCAAGCACGGAGGGGGCTTCTTACCACCACCACCACCCCCGTTACGGTTAGGGAGAGATTACATGTGTGAAGGGCCTACAAAGGAAGTGAAGGGGAATGACTCTGCAGAGTGGCTGGGAACTCGTTTATGTTTTCTGCTCGCTTTCTACCACACCTCGTCCCTGAACAGGACAGAAGTCATGAAGTAGAGGCCCAGTTTTCCATGAGTTCTGAGATGATTGGATTGGGTCACTCCACAGAAGAACTTGGGGAAGGTGGGCTGCACCCACTGGCCTCATGGCTGCTGGATCTGGGCCCTTTCAGAGATCCCAAGATACTCAGCCTTCTTCAATATGTGGAGGCTCCTACTCTAAATGAAAATATCCATGCATGCAAGCAAAGTAAGTTCCTCCTCAACACACACGGACTTTTTTATGTTTGTACCCCAATTTTAAGCCTCCAAGTGGCCTTTTTGCCCTGCCCTTTGGCATGTGACACATAGAAAAAAGGAAAATTTCTTCCTTTGCTACAGAACAAGCCAACAGGGAAGAAGGTAGGGGAAGATATTGGAGATGTGTTGGGGAGATCTCAGGGTCATCTGTGGGTGGGTGGGGGTGTCAAGTCAAGAGGGCAGTCGTGACTGCATGATGGCAGCCTTGCCCCTCTTTTGCATGTATCACACACGCAATGCACGTAAAAAGAGGCAGATCGTCAGTCACGTAGCCATGACTGCCATCTTGACTTTTTAAAATTTCTCTCTACCTGTGGTTGGCCCCTATTCCATAGAAGTTGCACTAAGAGCAAAGCCTAGCTCTGCTATTTTTCTATATTTAATATTCTGCTTCCATATTACACCATGATTTCTCAAGATTTAACAGAGCCATATACAAAGTCCCGTGCCTCGGCATACTAGACTATTAAGCGTGTTGTGTTTCCTACTTACCTCTCTTATATGGCCCAAAGCTGCTGTTTTTCTGGGCTGTTTCTGCTTGTCTTCGGTGGGGGGGAGGAAAAACATGTCCACACAATACTATTCCCATTTTAGAGATGGTGGGCCGGGGGGAAGTCACGCTGGAAAAGAAGGGCTACTGGGCTGGGAGCTAGGATTTGGAATCGAGTCCTGCATCCAGCTAGACCGAAATGCAACCTTTCAGCGACGGGAGGCCTTCCGGGCTGGTCTACTTCGGAATGAACTTGGAAAGAATTGCGGTAGAAATCCAGAATCGGCTCGTCTGAGAGCGAAAATGGAGCTCCGCCCGCCTTGACCCGCCGTCCGAGGCGGGGAGCTCTCCGCCGCTGCCTGGTGCTGAAACGGGCCGCCCGCCTCTCGGCGAGCGCGCGTGTCTTGGGGAGCCCACTGGGGGGAACTGGCATTCGAGCAGAAACCTGTGCGTGATCCTGGGAGGACTGGCAGAGTTAACCCTTTGGACCGCGGCTCTCCTCGCAAGGTGTCTCCTGCGTTCCGGACTTGGCACCTTTTGGGTAGGCGTCATCCTAGGACCCCTCACCCGATTCAGCCTATCGCGACTGGGGGTGATGGGGCTTGTGGCCTGACCCACCTTTTGCTGGGCTAAAAACAGGCGCCTTTTTGCGCCCCCCCTCCAATCCTGTCGAAGCCTTCCTCTCCCCCGGCTGGGCGGCGCTGGCCCCCTCCGCAGACCCTCGCGGGGCCCCCTTTCCCGCCGCCCAGCCCTCCTCCTCTCCCGCTCGCCAGCCCCTCCTCTCCAGTCCT